GCAACTTAGATGAAATAGACAAATTCCTCAAAAGATATGAAATACCAAAGTTCACGAAAAAGAAATACTCCTCTACATAAGATAGCTCTATATCTATTAAATTGAATTTTTAGTTAAAACCCTTTGCATTGGGCCGGGGGAATAGCTCAGCGGCACAGCACCTGTGCCTGGCAAGCACATCATGAGTTTGATTCCCAGTAATCAAACAAACAAAAACCCTCTGCATTTTCCAGACTTACGTAAAGAATTTTCAAAACTCAGTAACAAATCGGCTAACTTTTCAAATGAACAAAATATTTGAATATACTTCACAAGAGAAGATTGAGGTAATGGCAAATAATCCCATAAGAAAGATGATCAGGATTGGGCACAGTGGTGCATGCCTGTAATCTCAGCCACTTGGAGGCCTGGGGCAAGAGGATCTCAAGTTCCAGGCCTTTCTTGGCATCTCATGTTCCAGGCCTACCTTGGCATCCCTGTCTCAAAAATTTTTTTGCAGGTACCAGGGAATGAACATAGGCCCTCGCAAGTGCTGGGCAGGCACTGTACTACTGATCTACATGAACATGAGGAGTGCTTATCTAGCATGTGTGAAGCCATGGGATCAATCCCCCGTACTTAAAAGAAAAAAAGATGCTAAACATAGTCATTCTGAAAATTCAATAAAAAACACAATAAGATACTATTTCACACTCACCTAAAATAAAAGACTTTACTATTGAGTGATAGTGCTCACCTATAGTTCCAACTCAGTAAGGTCACTGGGGAAGGGCACAGTTCGATTCACTGCAGCCATCCACACCTTCAGGATGAGGCATGTGCCACTGTCAAAGGACCTAGGTCATGTGGACAGAGAAACTATTCTGGATCTAGAATCATCTCAGCTTCTGAAGCCCTTTTGTTTGAACCTCTCTCTATTCTAGTGAGATCTCAAAAAGGAATGATCTGACCTCTTTACCCTGTTTTTTGTCTATAGTGATGGCTTATAACTTTGAGCCATTCATAACCCAGTTAATTTGGCAGATGGCTAGTGGACTCTAAGTCTTGCCAGTAGTCATAGGTCTTGCAAGAAAGAAGCATTTACTGCATCCAATCTGTGTCAGAATTTCCACTTTAATCTCTGTGAAGATATTATAAATTAGGTCATAGTTTTCTCATCTTACAGATAAGGAAACTGGTTATAAAACTTTTCCAATTCCAAGCACACAGCTAGTAAATGCAAGGCTAAGGTTTGTATTGAGATTTCCTGGCTCCAAAACCTAGTAACACTGTGACCATGTAAGGCTAAGTGGTAAGCCCAGGGAAGAAGAGCAAGCCAAGCATCACATTAATCCCAAGATCACCAGTAATGACCACTTAGTGATAAGTAATTTGCTAATGGCACAAGAGTGGCACCCAGTGGCTCTAGCTGCAAACTACATGATGAAGGATGACAGGTCAGGCTGCTGGGCGTGGTGGCACATGCCTATAATCCCAGCACTTGGGAGGCTGAGGCAGGAGGATTGTTGCGAGTTCAGGCCAGCCTGGGCTACAAAGTGAGCTCAAGGCCAGCCTGAACTGCATAGCGAGACCCTGTCTCAAAAAAAGAGCCAAAAAAAAGAGAAAAGGATGACAGGTCAAATTGTTTTTACCCTTGGGCCAGTCTCTCTGTTTCTAAGGTAAAGGTAGACTAGCTGACCCTTTTTGAGTAATACAGAATAAAATCACTTATAGCTATTATATATTCATCTGATGAATGGATAGGTAAGGTCCTCCTAGGGCTCCTATGGGCATTTACTTGATAAGACCAATTTCAAAAAGGAGAAGTTTTTAAGATTTTACAGACTAAAATGAATGAAGGAAAAGAAAAACTTTTTGTCAAAGAAGAAAAATGTTTTGGAAATTTTCTCAATAATATCCTTCTTTACTTTCTGCCTTCATTCTTCCTTCCATGTACCATTCCCTTCTTGTGCCCCCCACCCCTGTTTTCCTTTTACAGTACTAAGACTGAACTCATGGGCACTCTACCACTCAGCTATATCGCCCGTCCTTTTCATTTTGAGACAGGATCTTGCTAAATTGTTATGCCTGGTCTGGAATTTGTAGTCCTTCTGCTCGGGGCTCCAGAGTAGCTGGATTATAGCTATGCATTACCACATCCAGCAATAGTGTTCCTTTCTTTATACCTTTAGGGCCATCGTTGTCCCTTCCGTGTTTCTCAGAATGGTGCCCCTTCTGTGTTCCTCGGAATGAAATTATTAGAAATTGAAACTTGCTTTAGTAAACAGTATATGATACCTTTTTAATTGTGGTACAGTTCCCAGAGGCTAAGATTTACCCTTTTGAAGTATAAAAGTTGGTGGTTTTAAGTACAGTCACTGTATTGTGCAACCATCACCACTAATTCCCAAACATCTTTCTGACAATGAAGAGAAACTATACCTATTAGGCTGCAGTTAATCCAAGTTTCCCTCTCCCTGGAAACCACTAATCTACTTTCCACCTCTATGGATTTGCCTATTCTGCATATTTCTTCAAAATGGAATCATAAAATATGAGGTTTCTTTCATTTAAGAAGATGTTTCCAATTTTATTCTGTATTGTATCATGTCACAGTACTTCATTTTTATGACTCAGTAACTCCATCTTATGGAACATTTTATTTATTCATTCATGAGGTGATGAATACTATTCCTCACTTTTTGATTATTATAAATAATGATGTTTTGAAAACTTTGTGTAGGCATATGTTTGAAATTCTCTTGGGTATGTACAGGGTATGGAAAATATGAGTGTTTAAATTTAAAAATTTTCTTACAGTAAGACACGTGGCCAGTAATCCCCTTCAAAGTACTCTGCCTTGCTTTGAACACATTTATCCCATTGTTCTTGCCACTTTCTGCAGTCTTTTGTATCTTTCTTGCGCTGTCCTACATTAATTCCAGATATTTACCTTTCATGGTCACTTTGATTGTGGGGAAGAGCCAGAAGCTGGACAGTGCCAGACCTAGTGAATAAAGTAGATGCTCCTTTCCACTGGATGGTAGTCAGCAGAAGCATTTATGGTATTTTTGATCACACCTTGTAAAGACACAAAAGAAGACTTGCAGAACTGCATCAGTTGGCAAGAACATTGGAATAAAGGGGTAAAGTGAGTGGGAATATTTTGAAGGAAATTAACGGTAATGTGTCTTTTACTGCAATAAAGTTTTAAAATTCAAACATTCACTGTGTGTTTTCATCACCTGTTGTATCTGGGAGTAGAATTGCTGGATCATCCTTATAACACTGTGTTTAACTTAGGGCCCCACAAATGCTGAGCACATCCTCTACCCGACCTAAACCCACAGCCAGTTTAACTTCTGAAGGAATTTCTACATTATTTTCTAAAGTGGTATCACCATTTTATGTTCCTGTCAGCAACTATAATGGTGCTCTAATTTCTTCACATCCTCATCAACAGTTGTTTTTATTTTCACTATTATTACTATTGCAATCCTAGTAGATACATAGTAGTTCAGTAATTTTTTTTCTTTCTTTCCTTTCTTTCTTTCCTTCCTTCCTTCCTTTCTTTCCTTTCTTTCTTTCTTCCTTCCTCCTTTCCTTTCCTTTTTCCTTTCCCTTTTCCCTTCCTTTTTCCTTTCCTTTCCTTTCCTTTCCTTTCCTTTCCTTTCCTTTCCTTTCCTTTCCTTTCTTTTCTTTGTTCTTTTTGAGACAAGGTCTTGCTATGTAGTTCAGGGTGGCCCTAAACTCATTATGTAGCCTAGGCTGGCCTTGAACTCATACATCTTCCTGTGTCACCCTCTGGAGTACTGGGGTTACAGGTGTGCACCACCACACCTGGCTTCTCATAGTGTTTTAATTTGCTTTGAATAATGCATAATGATGCTGAGAATCTTTTCATGTGCTATTGGCAATTTCTATTTTTGTTGGAGGAATGTTTTCATGTCCTTTGTCCATTTTTAAATTGGGTTGTTAACTTTATTGTTATGAGTTATTTACTCTCAATAAAAAAGTATCTTATGAGATAAGATTTACAAATATTTTCTTTCATTCTTGAGGTTTACTTTTCATTTTCCTCATAGTTTCCTTTGAAGCATGACTTTTTAATTTTTAGGAAGAAGATATATATTTTTTATGTTTGTATTTTTTTTTTTTTTCCTTAGTACTGGGGATTCAACCTAGGGTGTTTGCACAGAGCTACCTCACCGGCCCTTTTCTCATTTTTGTTTTGAGACAGGGCCTTGCTAAATCACTAAATTGCCCAGGGGGAGCCTGAATTTGGAATCCTTCTGCCTTGGTCACCTATGTATGAGGCTTTGTGCTGCCATGCCTGGCTTATATTTGTATTCTTGAAAAATGAGCTGGGAGGATTGGGTTCTGGTCTTAGTAAGTACCTCTGTTACCCTGTCCAAATTGGACCAACCAGTGTGGCAGGGTTTTGAAAGTCTCCACATGACCCCAGAATGTGCCCTCTATCTTCCCATGTTTGACTCCCTTGTAAGACCACTACTAGCTGTACGGGGACAGAGTTATGATGAACATTACCTTCCAAGGGATTTAAGATATAGATAATAGACATAGTAGCATAAAAATGATGAGCAACAGGCATGGAGAGCATACTTCAGATTCCAAGGAGACAATAAGGAACTGTCTGGATTTCAGAGAAGTAAGGATGTGCTCAGAGTGGCTAGAGTGAGCTACAGAAGGAGCCACAGAAGGAAGCCCTGGGCCGGGTGTGGTGCTGCACACTGGTAATCCCAGCACTTGGGAGGCTGAGGCAGGAGGATTACTTTGAGTTCGAGGCCAGCCTGGGCTACATAGTGAGATCTTGTCTCAAAAAAAAAAAAAAAAAAAAAAAAAAGTTGTATAGGGGAATTCCTGAGCCAGGAGCAAGTTAATGGGGACTTCTAGGTGGAGAAAGCTCTGTGAGATCAGTGAATCTACCAGCCACAGTCATGTTTCACTAGGGCTCATTCATGCTTCTGCAAAACTCACTTGGGACTTTTAAATCTTATAAGCAGCTGATTCCAGAAAAAAAGGATTTGACCCAGAGCACAGAGGATGCACCTAAGAACAGCAGCCCAGAGCTCCTTGCAGGTGAGGCTTGAGCTTTTTAGTCAATTTCTGCAGTGAAACAGTGAATGTAAGAAACGTGTCTTCAGGCCCTCAAGCTATCCCACCATGCCTTTCAACCACAGCCACGTTGTTTTGGCATCTGGTTGGCTCCCACTGCCAGTTTGGGTCTTCCAGGGCCCCGCAGGGATTCTCTCCCCAGAGCTGGTATGATAGGACTTCATATCTCTAAATACAGTTTGTGTTGTTACAGGTAGCAGCAGGTGATGGATCAGGGGAGAGGGTAATAAGCAGAATCCGGACCTAAATCCAGTTGATTCCTTCACATCTGTTCCCAGTCGTCTGTGTTAATGCTGGTTAATACTCTGGGGCTGTGGAGGCTGCTTCTGGGTGCAGATACTACCTCCAATTTGATGTGTGTTATGGGGAAGCGGCAGTATGCACAGGCGATGGAAACTATACTGAAGCCTTTCTTCACGTAGGCCTCATACTTCAGCAGCCTGTGGGGCCAGCAGCAGCAGGGGGAGTAGTTCTTATGCACAGTATAGTCACTCGCAGGTACTGGGCACTGTTCTGGAGCTTTTAAGATATGTTAATGCTCTTAATTCTCAAATAATCTTATGAACTATAGGTACTATTATTATTCTCATTTTACAGATGAGGAAACTGAGGCTCAGATATGTCAATAAACTTACTCTGTGTCACACAGCTAGTAAATGACAGAGCCAGAATTCAAATCCAGACAGCCTGATTGTGGAGGAGCCAAATTGACAGGAATGCCCTCCTATATATCCTGAGTCTTTTGGACAAAAGATTTATCTAGACTTGAGAGAATTTGGAGACTGTGACTTTGGCGCCTACATTTTATTGGTAAATTCCTCTTTCTGGGGTTATAACTACAACGTGCAACATGTTGTCTGTACTTAGGCCTGAGATGCGTTCTGAATATTTTGTCAATTGTACCTTGCTTTAAATGTTGTAGAGGCCATTGCTACCAAAGAGAATACTGCAGTGAAGACTTGTATAAAAGTTATTTTTATAAATTTAGATTTGAATATTTTTTTAAAATGGAAACATAGTACAGGGGCTGGGGATTTAGCTCAGTGGCAAAGCGCCTGCCTGGCAAGCGCAAGGTCATGAGTTCGGTTCCCGGTACCGGAGAAAAACAAACAAAAAAAAACCAAACAAACAAACAAAAACGAAACATAGTACATACATACAATTCAGTATGTTAGGGAGCAAGAAGCAGCAAAATAATAAGTATCTTCTCTTGAAAGGAAAAAAATTAACATTTAATTTAGTGCTCTCTGTGGACTCTGGAGAGATGTTAGGCTCTTGCACAGACCTCATCTCATTTAGTCCTCACAGTGATCCTGTGGGCGGCATTTCTTCCCTTTCACCTATGAGAGAACCCAGGCTCAGAGGTTAGGTCAACGCTTAGTTAGCAGGAAGAAGAGCTGAATTTCTTTCTTTCTCTTTTTTTTTTTTTTTTTTTTTGAGGCAGGGTCTCGCTATGTAGCCCAGGCTGGCCTCAAACTCATGGCGATCCTCCTGCCTCAGCCTTCCAAGTGCTGAGATTACAGGCATGTGCCACCACACCCAGCAGAAGAGCTCAATTTCAGCTTGTCATCTCCAAAGCCCATGCTTTCTCCGCTGTGTAATATGAGCCTTAAAATCTAAATGCTGGTTGCTCGAGCTGCTGTGCCCTGCCGTTGGCATGCACTCTGTCCCCATGTGGGCAGGTCTTCTAAAGAAATTCACTGTGAAGTTGTGTTTTGATGCCACCACACATCCAGGCTCCTGGTCTGTTCACTCAGGAGCCTTTCATTTGTCAGTGCTTTGCCTTATCTTTCTGGCCCTTTCTCCACAATGGCTATTCCAGTCCTTTTCCTCCTACTCCCTCTTTTGAGGTACTAGACATTGAACCCAGGGCCTTATATATGCTAGGTAAACACTCCACCATTGAGCTATCTCCCTGGCTGCTCCAGTCTTTAAAAAAAAAAAAAAAAAAAAATCTACCTAGTCTCTGCCCCCAATTTTGCCTCCTGCTTCACTTTATTGATTTCTTTTCTCAGGAAATTCGTCAACTTGTATTCCTCCCACTGCAGAATCTTATCATCCTCGGGACCTGCAGGCTTCTAGGTTTCTGTCATCCTTCCTGCTTCCTACAAGAGTTTGATAGAAGCCAACCTTTGACAGAATGATCATTCTAAAATACAAAATCAACAATATATATTTCCAGTCCTTAAAATGCTTCACTGGCTTCCTCTTTGTTTCCTGAGGATAAAAGTCTTTCTTAGCCTTTTCTGATCCTACTACTCTCCTTGATCTATCTGCTAGAATTTTGCATGTGCGCGTGCACACACACACACACACACACACCCTTACATTGGTATAAAGTTTATTTGCTTGACTTCAGCATGAAATTCCGTTTTCTTTGCAAGCCTAGCTCCGGTATCTCCTCAGGGAAAGCTTTCCTCACCTCCTCAGGGTTAGCTAACAGCTTTTTTCTCTTTTACCTCTGGGTTTTGTACACACTTCTGCATCCCTCCCAGCACCTGAGCTTCTCCTAGGGAAAAGCTCACACTACATTGCCTGTTCAGGAGAATCCATAGATCTAAATGCGCTTTAAATTTGCACAAGTTAACCAATTAGGAATGGAAAGTTGCCTGTGGGCCTGCTCGGTGCCATAGGAGAGAGAAATGTGGCTGGCTTGCTTTCCCAGTTACCAGAGCTTGGCAGGGAGGGAAGAGCTTGAGAGTGCAGACTTCACACAAGGTGTGTGTGAAAAGTTACTAAAGGAGTCTGGGCCTCTGTTTTACTTTTCTCTCATTGCTGAGACAAAATACTCAACACCCAAAATTAAGGAAGGAAAGGTTTATTTAGCTCACAGTTTGTGAAGATTTTAGTCTATAATCAGCTGGCTCCAAGGCAGGGTGGCAGGGCACAGAGGCAACAGTTTAAGGCGGCGAAGACAGCGAAAGCAGCAAGCGGGGGAGGGGGCAGCGAGCCTCTTCTTTTCCCTTATATTGCAAACAGACTACCACTCCCTAGGGCGGGTGTAGCACTCAGACCATCTCCAGGCCCTCCTCTTGCACAGGATGAGGATGTTTACAAAGTGAGGACCCTGGCCCCCTGCTGAGTCTCTCAGTTTAAACTCAGATTGACACAATGTATCAATCATAACTGCCTCCACGTGAGGGCTTGGTAGGATCCCCGATTCCCCTTGCAAGGCCCACTTCACAGGGGACAGAGGCCTGAAACCGTTGTGAAGGCCCCGTAGCTGCAGTGTTTTGATCCGGACAGGACCTGGGAGTAAGATGAAGTGGGCTTGCTTTCGCTTAGAGATCAGGCAAGCGGACCGCAAGAAGCTCAAGAGCTGCAGCTTCTGCCCGGGAGACGAGGAGATGCGAGCTTTTGCGGCCTCGCAAAGCGCAGAGCAGCCCAACGCCTCTCTCCTCCCGAGGGGACAAGAGGTCCGCACAGCCGATGACAGGGCCCTGGTCCGGGAGAGAGGAAACCCGGTGAGCCGCCAGGGGATAAAGGAGAGCGCCGCGCAGGTAAGGGCGCGTGCGCGGCAGGAAGGCCCGGGATCGGGCTGCTGCAGGAAGCGTCCTTACTTTGTCCCCGTTGCTCCCGCAGGATGCTCTGTGGCTGCAGGAGGTCTCGAATCTGTCGGACTGGCTGAATCCCGGCTCCGGGTCGTAAACCGTGACGGTCCCAAAACCCCTCGGTGGCGCGGGGGAGAACTGCACGCAGTTGTGTGATGTTTGATTTAATAAAGTTGCTCCAGGCGTATGCTGAGTCGGCTCCAGTGCCTGGGCAGGGCAGGGCGGGCGGGGGGGCGGTGCCAGGGGGCGGGCCCGCCTCGTGACGTCACCCGCACTTCCATGGGTTAGCGTCACTGGTGCGCGCCTCGGTCCGGGCGCAATGGCGGCGCTGGGCGGGGATGGGCTACGCCTGCTGTCTGTTTCGCGGCCTGAGCGGCAGTCCGAGTCAACATCGCTAGGGGGCCGGGGCCCTGAGCTGTGCTGCTGGGTGTCAGTGTTCTCCTGCCTCAGCCTCGCCTGCTCCTACGTGGGCAGCCTCTACGTCTGGAAGAGCGAGCTGCCCAGGTGCGGGGACTGCGCGCGGCCCGAACCCGCGCCCCCGCGAAGCTGGGCTGTGGGCGGAGCTTGGGTGAGCGAGGGGCGGGACCACGCTGACGACTTGGCGGCCGAGGGCCCCCTGAACTTACTGTGCCTTTCATAGGGACCACCCCGCCGTCATCAAGCGGCGCTTCACCAGTGTCTTGGTGGTCTCCAGTCTCTCACCTCTCTGCGTGCTACTCTGGAGGGAACTCACTGGCATCCAGGTGCGAAGGAAGCGGGGCAAGGGGCAGTAGGATCGAACTCAAGGGTCTTTGGGGAGGGAGCAAGACTGATGCCCCCTTTCCTGTGGCTCAGCCAGGCACATCCCTTCTCACCTTGATGGGCTTCAGGCTGGAGGGCATTTTCCCAGCAGCTCTACTGCCCCTGCTACTGACCATGGTGAGTTCTGCTTTTTCGTTCCTACTGTGTTGTCGCTAATATCATGGGCCTTTTGTGGCCTTTTTTCCCCTTTGTATCCAGCTTTTGGCTGATGGAAGTCAGGGCCCTGGGGTATGCATGGGGTTGGGCGATCCCAGAATTGAAGAAGGCTGAGTAAGGTTAAAAGGCTGGACAAGAAAGTGGCTTGTGGTGAATATCTTTCCTTTGATTTCTGCTATTTTTATGCCGCCAGATCCTTTTTCTGGGTCCACTGATGCAGCTCTCTATGGACTGCCCATGTGACCTGGCAGATGGGCTGAAGGTTGTGCTGGGTGAGTGTTCAAGGCAAAGGGGGAGAAGTAGGCATAGTCAGTCCAAGGTAATGGGGAAAGGGAATCAGTGGGCTCATAGTGCAGTCTGGACAAGAGATAGCAGATGTCCTCTTTCAGGGTGTGTTTCCTTATCAGTAAAATTGGATCATATTGCTGGGTGGTCTCTAGGAGTTGGTTCCTGACATGCATGGAGTCCCCTTGGGCCCTTCAACAATATTGATGTGGACCAGAGAGTGTCATCCCCTGCTTCCTCAACCTATTGCTTCTTCAAAGCAGTATTGGTCCTAAATTTTGTAGTTTACTACAAGATTATCCTGCCTTAGCTACTCATGCCTTTCCTTTAAGTCATGTCAAGACATTGCTTTACATTGAGTCTGGTAAATATAATGTTCAGTTGTCCCCTTCTCCACTTCTCAGAAGTATTGATGCCCGGCCTGTGTTGGGCCTGGGTACGATTGTGGAAGCGGTGCCTCTGAGTCTCATTGTTCAACACCTAGTCATTCATTGCTTGTCCTTAATCTGCTATGTAGCCCCCCGCTCCTGGGTCCACTGCCTCACAGACATGCGTTGGCTTCGGAACCAAGTGATTGCACCCCTCACAGAAGAGCTGGTGTTCCGGGCCTGTATGCTGCCCATGTTAGCACCGTGCACAGGCCTGGGCCCAGCTGTATTCACCTGCCCACTCTTCTTTGGAGTTGGTGAGTGTGGTCCTGAGAACGAGGCTTGGGGTGAAGGGTGAGCCTAGAGCGAAGGCCAGAGGGATATGGTATGGTTCTCACCTTCTTTCTAGCCCATTTTCACCACATTATCGAGCAGCTGCGTTTCCGCCAGAGTAGTGTGGGGAGCATCTTCTTATCTGCAGGTGAGTGCCTGGGTAGAGTATGTTAGGGTGTCCCTGACAGCCACACTAGAAAAAGGATTAGAAACAGAGGGCTATAGTATTTGGAGGGGCCACTGACAGTGGGAGTTGGGGTACAGAGGACAGCCACAGGTGGTGAAGCAGGCAGTCACTGCCCCGGGGGAAGGGGATTGTCTCTGGCTGATGGGCAGTACTGGGGCAGGGTGGGCATGCAGGTGTGGTCACTCGCGGCCTCCCCGTCTCCAGCGTTCCAGTTCTCCTACACAGCTGTCTTCGGTGCCTACACTGCTTTCCTCTTCATCCGCACAGGTTTGTCTTCAGTCTTTCATGGGTCTCTGGGGGTTCAGGGACCCACAGGCGTGGGTGGGAGAATGGGAATACTGTGTTCTAGGAGTGACAGAATGTTTCTTCAGTGATCCTTGAGACAGGCTGAGCCAGGGCCTTCAGCTCGGTGAGGTCTGAGAGGTGGAAGGAAGCAGAGTGGGTGGGGTTGGGTAACTAAACTGTTTCATGGGGTGAGGGTCATTAGCCCTGGAAGGGGTGGAGGAGGGGGTGGGACTGCTCCATGAGCTGCACTGTCTCCCCTCCCCAGGACACCTGATTGGGCCGGTTCTCTGCCACTCCTTCTGCAATTACATGGGCTTCCCTGCTGTGTGTGCAGCCCTGGAGCATCCGCAGAGGCGGCCCCTGCTGGCAGGCTATGCCCTGGGTGTAGGACTCTTCCTGCTTCTCCTCCAGCCCCTCACGGATCCCAAGCTCTATGGCAGCCTTCCCCTTTGTGTGCTTTTGGAGCGAGCAGGGGACTCAGAGGCCCTCCTGTGCTCCTGACCTTCACTCATGTGTGACTTCAGTGAACTGTCATGGGCTTCCCAGCCCCTCCCCATCAAAGGGTACTACAGGGGAGGGGCTGGCTGGGGTCCCCGAGATCTCAGGAATTTTTGTAGGGGATTGAAGCCACAGCTAGTTGAATCCCAGGGACCAAGAGAAAGAAGCAGATATCCAAAGGGTACAATCCCCCTGAAAGGGGGTTGAGGAGCAGCTGGGAGTGAGGGGACAAGGGGCAGGTCCCAGGAGCTGTGCACTTCCTCACTTTGGACTGCTGCTTCTCTTAGCTCTTCTACCCGCCGACCCTGCCTCTGAAAAGCTGCTCAGGGGGGTTTTATTTGTAAAACCCCTCCCCTGAACTTCCCAGGGTTTTCTCATTGTCTTTTTGCATCAGGACTTTATATTGGGATATTAAAGAGATTTAACTTGGGTAACATGGCCTTCAATCTTTGGAAATCCGTGGGGTTTTGGGAAGAGTTGGAGATATCCTAGCTACCTCGAACACTAATCTCAGGTCAGTTCAGCCCATTAGGCAGTTCTCAGGAATAGGGGATGAGGTGGGGGCACCTGAGGCTATGGGTTTCTCCCTGAGCCATGCTCTATGTCCTAGCACAGGTGGGTCTGAGACTATGGGTCCCGGATGTGGGCCCAGGTACTCATGGCCCTGACCTCATCAGTGGAGCCTCCAGCTTGTGTCCTCTGGAAGGGTGGAGGACACAGGGCCCTGAAAAGACTACCAACTTCGTTCGAGTGGAAGCAAGTCCAGAACAGGAAAGGAACCTGCACTGAGTCTCCTTGGAGAAGGGGCTTTTGGTTCTCTCCACCCGTACCACAGTCATCGTGCCTCCTGTAGCCTCTGGAGGAACTCAGAACAAAGGTCACAGTCCTGAGAACAATAGGGAGTCTACCAAGCAATACAGTAAGTTGAGGTCTTTTTTAGAACCTACTGGTATGCTACTTTCTTGCTTTTAGAATGGTTCTCACTGCCCTGTCTAGGACCTTTTTCTCTTCGCTTCTTTAAAAATACTCTTTTGGGTCCCATTCCATGAGGCTGGTAGTTGGAGAAAAAAGGTAATGCTTGTGCAGTGAGTCCCTCATGATACTTCCGGGCTGGCTGTGACTGAACCACATTCATCTAGATCTAAAGGGCGGCACCACAGTTGTACACCTCCCTTCCGGGAGAGCCTCTCCCCTTGTCTGTGTAGCAGATGTCGGGAGGAGAGGGATGATCAGGGATCTGTTTAGAGAGTACACTTGGAAGCCTATGGTACAAGCAGGAAGAAGCACCGTGTGGCTTGTGTGCCTGAGGTCAGGTGCCTGTACCCTGAGAACACTGGGCAGATAGGCTTGCAGGGCCCCTGGTGTCTGGACTCAGTCTTCCCCTTCCTCACAGAGTCTGGCATTCATTCCACCATCCCCCTCCCTGTTCTGCTCAGGAACTACCCCTCCACCTGTGCCTGTTGCCTCACCATCCATGGGTAGGAGGCCAGTGATGCAGTCAGAGTTACTGTCCCCTCTGCAGGTAAGAAGACAGACACCCAAGGTTTTCTTGAGAGTTGGTTGTGGGATGGGCAGGGGAAAACCTGTGACCCTGGCTCCAGTGCTTCTGCTAACCTCCTATGCATAGCCTCACACTCACAGCATTCATAGTCTCTGTCTCATCACCATTCCCAAGGGTCTCCCCCGCTGCCCAAGTGGTACCTGTTTGCTCTTAGTCCTGAGCTAATGAGGTGAGAGGTTGGCCTGGGTTTAGTCCCCCTCTATTTTTGTCTAATTGTGGAGTCCTGAACAAGTTACCTAAGCTTCCTGTGACTTGATTTGTGTCCGCAAGATGGGGGCAAGATGATTCTTCCAGTTCATAGGTTAAGCGTTTAGAACAAATTCCACTCCCTAAGCAAGCTCAGTAACGGCTGGTCATATTTGGGGTGTGTATACAATAGGTGCACATTCGTGGCATTAACCATCCTTGCTACAAACCAAGGAGGAAAAAACAGCCTGTCTGCTCCCAGCCCCAGTTTGAGAAGCGGCCACATCCTCTCTGCCCTGGGCTGGGGGGAGCACCGGAGGTATGGTGGATGGCACAAGACCCAGCATGGAGGGCAGAGGAAAGCGTTTTATTGAGCAAATGTCCCAAGATCTGGGGTTTACGTCTCCCCTACAACCAGGAGGTAGGACCCCTTAACCTTCTCCGGGTCCTAAGACCATCTACTCCTCCACCTGTAGTCTCCCATGAGGAGAGGACCCTTACTTGGCAAGAGATGAATATGTAAGCAGCTGTCCACCAGTGAGGAAAGGACAGATGGTTGAAGGGAATGGGCCTCTGCGGGAGTCTTCGCTGTCCCACTGAGCACAGGACCTCCAGGGCCAGGCCTTCCTGCTCTTGGGCACCAGCTTGCCTGGGCCTGACCTGGCAGCACAGCTTCTGTTGAAGGTATCGGGTGGGGGTGGCCAGGCTGCTAGCCTGGGACAGGGTCACTCGATCTCCAGGATGAGGTCATCACCTTCCAGCGTCATGTCCTTGGTTACGTGGACCTTGCGGACAGTGCCCTCCATGGGCGAAGTCACCACAGTCTCCATCTTCATGGCACTGAGCACACACAGAGGCTGGCCTTTGGTCACCTTAGCTCCCGCCACCACCTTGATATCAATCACCTTTCCAGGCATGGGTGCCCCAATTTGGCCCTTCACATCCTTCAGAGCTTTAGGGTGGAAATGCATCTCCTGCAGACAGGGCAAAGGAAAGATGAAGCAACAGGCCCAGCCTAGCCCCACTACCTGGCTGGCCTTGAGGGTGCCTCACCTTCATGGCCTGGGTGTCCTTGATCAGGATGGACCGCAGCTGCCCGTTGAGCTCAAAGAAAACCTGCCTCTGGCCAGCCCGGTTCAGGTCACTCACAGCCAGGGCTTTGATGTGCAGTGTCTTGCCCCGCTCTAGCTCCACCTGCAGAGAAGGCGTCGAGGCTCAGAGCTGGAGGCTGTCCGGAAAGCAGGCCCCCAACACCCCACCACAGGGGAGTCCTCCACCCTGGGCCTCAGCTCCTCACTTGTCAAGGCTAGCTCCTGGTTTCTCAAGGGTCCTTTCAGCTCCCAAAGCCCGCAAAGCTGGGTGAGAACCAGGCCAAGGTTAAGGCCTGGAGCTCTTAGGGCAGGGTGCTGGGTAGAGTGTGGGGAGCCACTGACCTCAAACTCCTCTGCAATTTTGGGTCCCTGCAGGAAGAGGCGGGTATTGAGGCTATCCAAGGGGCCAAAGGTGGCAGTGAAGTCCTTGAATTGGGCAAAGACATCGGGGTACATGGCTGCTGAAAGTACGTCCTCTGGGGTCACTTCCTCCCCGTGCCGCTCTATCAGCTCCTTCTCCAACACCTGCAGATCCAGGGGAGGGAGGGAGGCTCCAGGCCGCCCCTCTACCCTTGGAAGGTCCTTTAGCACCTGGAGAAGAAAGAAGAGGGTCAGGCCTCCTTCCTGTACCCAGCCCTCCGTCCGCACTATTTTGGCCTTTCCTACCTTAGAGCGAAGGGGCTCAGGGAACCCCCCATGGGGGACACCAATGTAGCCTTGCAGGAACTCTACCACGGAGCGGGGGAAGGACAGCTCTTCAGCCTGCGCTTCAGCCTCTGCCCGGCTCAAGCCATTCTGCACCATGAACTGGGCCAGGTCCCCCACAATCTTGGAGGAAGGAGTCACCTGAGGAGGAGGGACTCGAGGTTATGATGCAGGCTCCTTATTGGGAGCCTAAAAGGGAGTATAAAGTTGTGTCAGGTAAACCCTGGGCCCAGCTTACCTTGATGAGGTCCCCTAGCATCTGGTTGGCCTCCACATAGGCCTTTTTGACTTCCTTGAACTTGGAGCCAAGCCCCATGCTGTGGGCCTGGAAGTGCAGGTTGGTGTACTGGCCCCCTGGGATCTCGTTCTCATACACATCCGAGTTGCCAGACTTCATGGTGGCCGTGCAGTCAAAGGCAGCATAAAGTCCCCGAGCCCCCTCCCAGTATTCACTGTAGTCAAATACGCGTTCCAGGGGTACCTCTGCAGGGAGGCCCGAGTCAGAGGAGAGCATGGCAGTCTGCCGAGCTCCCAGAGGCTCCTCCCAGGACCCAGGGCCGGTTCAGGTCTCATTTTAGGCCTGTGTGGGGCATCTGGATCCTAGGTGTGCCCGACTTTAGTGGGACTGGTGCCTGTAGCTTTGAGAGGGGCATGGGCATGGGGTGTCCTCTTCCTACCTGTGTCTAGAGGAGTCCCTTTGGTACAGGCTACTAGGGCGCCCATACTGGGCTGTGAGGTCATCCCGGACATGGAGTCAGCTGCCACATCCACTATGTCAGCGCCAGCTTGGGCACAGGCCAACATGGCTGCTACACCTGCCCCTGATGTGTCATGGGTATGGATGTGCAGCGGGAGGTCAGGAAAGCGGTCCCGGAGGGAGCTAACCAGCATGGTGCAGGCTGCTGGCTTCAGCAGCCCTGCCATATCCTGGAGGAAATGGGAAGAAAGACGGTAAGGAGGGTCCTGATGGGTGCCCGTGGTTGTAGGGGATAGGCAGAAGAGAAGAGCTGGGCAAATGGCCTAGGTACCTTGATGCACAGGATGTGGGTGCCAGCTCGCACCAGCTCTTCCGCCAAGCTCATGTAGTACTGCAGCGAGTATTTGGTGCGGCTGGGGTCGGCCACGTCACCTGTATATGAGATGGCAGCCTCCACCACACCCCCAGCACTGCCTGCTGCCTCCATGCCCAGCAGCATGTTGGGCAAGTAATTGAGGGAGTCAAAGATCCGGAAGACATCCATGCCATTCTCTTTGGCCACCTCACAGAACCTGAGGAGGTAAGAACCAGGGATCAGCCCCACCACACTCCTCCCTCACTGTGTTCTCTGGCTCCTGGCCTACTTTATAGCTTCTAGGGGATAAAGTTTGGCCTGGTGGAGTGGGGGGCACAACAGTAGAGACAAGGCCTTTTCCAGTGCAACCTGGGCCAGGCGGGGTGGTGCCAGAGGCATCTGCACGGGGCAGAACTGGCTCCTAGCTAGTCACACCATGGAGTCATCAGCCAGGATTCCTTGCTTTGCAAAGGCGTGGCAGGCTGTGGGAGAGAGCACTGAACAAGGGGTCCCAAGGCCTCGGTCCCAGCCCTAGCTTTACTCCATATGGCCTGGGACACGTCATCTCCCTCTGAGGGCTTCCACTGCCACGTGAGTAATATGGAAGCTCTTCAGGTTCTGCCACTACGATTCAGCACTTCATGGCACTTCCAAACAGTAGCCCCTGCCGGGTGTGGCTACACACACTTGGCTTCCAGCCCGCTGTGGGGAGCACAGGCTAGCTCTAGCCTAGTGCTTGTGGGCCCTACTGTGCAGTATCTGCACCCCCCCCCCCAGGCTCACTTGAAGACCACATTGTCAGGGTAGTTGGTGTAGCCCACTGCATTGGCCCCCCGTAGAAGCATCTGGAATGGGATGTTGGGGATGAGCTCCCGGAGCTCCTGCAGCCGCCGCCAGGGACACTCATATAAGAAGCGCATTGCAACATCAAATGTGGCTCCTGTAAGGGGATAGAGAAGCAGCTCGTGTCAGCTCTGGAGCTCTGCAGCTTGAGCCTTGGGCCCCTGCTCGCTTTTAGGGTTTCTTGTGTTCACAGCTCTAAGCATCACCAACTGTTCCCTTCGTTGATGCTCTGGGTGCTAAGGCTCACTGTACCCTCTGCACATGTATCTGTATTGCCTGCACATCCTCCTTCAATTCTCCATGCTGTGATTAGCTACCAGGCTGGGTCTCCTAATGAGCTGCTCTGGACAGCGCCTCAGTCTCAGCTTTGCAGCCTCAAACCCAGCACCACGTCTGGCTGGAGTTGGTTCCAGTTTATGGAACAAGCAAGCACCCTGTTTCTTCAGTTTTCACTCTGCTTTTCTCCAGAGTGACCTGAGAGAGTGAGATCTGTCAACAGCTCCAGCTTCTCTTAGTGTCCTGGGCCTTTGGGGCTGGCCACACACAGTAGACACCCAATTCCCACCAACGCTGGCCAACATCCCAGCCCTTCTCTAGCCTACCTCCCCAGTTCTCCATGCTGAAGAGCTTGTTGAAGCTGTGGGCGACATAGGGTGCAATCCTTTTGAGATCATGGGTGCGCACACGAGTGGCCAGCAGTGACTGATGGGCATCCCTGAAGGTCGTGTCCATCAGCAGCAGCCCCTGATGTTTTCGCACAGCTTGAGCAAAGCCCTCAGGCCCCTCTCGCAGAAGGATGTCCCTGAACCCAGCTGGAGGTGGGCCTAGAATAGACAAGGATATTAATGTCCCTCCTGCAGGTGACAATCTCTTGTCTCCCCCATGAGTTGGCAGAATGAATCCCACCTACCTATGGGCACTGCAGGGACGATGGGGTCCGTGGGGCTTGGACTGGCCTTCACAGGGATTGGGGTGGTAGGGCCATTCACCATGACATGTCCTAGAGGGAGAGGGGGTAGTGGTCAGGGCCAGATGAGCAGAGGTGGAGCTGAAGGCAACAGTGTGAGTAGGTGGGCTTGGGGATAGGGACATTTTTCCAGGACAGCTGCTGCTCCAGCTGCTCCTGTCCTCTCCAAAGCCAGGGCCTCCTGGGTCCAGGCAGTAGAGACCTATTTAGGGCCATATGGATGGAAACAAGGATCTCTCGGAGCAAGGCAGACATGGACTAGAACAAGGGCAGGGCTGAGGGGAAGGGGTCCGGAGATAGGGAGGGGAGAATAGGGCTGTGTGGGCGGACCAAGGTAGTGCAGCAGCTTCTGGGCCCGGTTCTGTGCGGGCCGCAACTGGAATAGCTCAGGGTTCTCGTCGATGAACTGGGTGTCCACGGTTCCTGCCAGGAACTGCTGGTTGTTGAGCACATTCTGCAGGAAGGGGATGTTGGTCTGCAGGACAGAGGTGGGTGGGAGGGTGTCAGTCACCATGCAGCATGGACAGGGGAGGGAGAAGACAAGAGGCTGTAGCTGCCACCCTGGAGCATCACAGCTTCAGGGCCTGCCCCATATCAGCTCCCTATTCTGGCATATAGGTTAGCCCTATATGGCCAGGGGCTAAACCACACCCTTGATCCTTACTCACCCCAGAGCATGTGCCAAATGCCATCCCCTTCTGTTTCCTCCGGGGTCTGGACACCTGTACCTCCCCGCTTCTCACCTACAACCAGCTCAGCCTTTCTCAGAGCAGAGTGCCCCTGGGCCTCTTGAAAGAGGCCCCTATCTATGCCCTGACTTCCGAGGCTGTCTCCTGGCCGAGTCCAGTGAGCATTCTCCCCCATCTTGCTAACATTTCCCAACTTGAGGGCATTTCCCTGGGTTCCTGAGACAGCTTGCTTTTCTGGTCTCCTGCTTGGGCTCTCCTGCTTCTCCCAGCATGCCACCCGGTGGTCGCATCCTAGCCTTTGCTCCAGGGACAGTCTGTCTCCACAGCCAAGACCCAAAGGTGGAACTGCCTTCTGGCAGCTCCTTGTACATCCCTCAAGTGAGTTCAGCAGGTCCAGCCTGGCTTCCCTCCTGCTCCCCTGTCCTCTGCCTCTTGGTAAATGTTTCACTGTCTACACAGTTACCAAAATCCAGACCCCATCACCCTTGATACCCCCTTGTGTGTCCCTGTTCAAGCTAGATGACTGTCCTAGGGCCATCTCTAGACTCTGACCTCTTCTCAAACTCAGGACAAACCTCCCACTGGTCTTCATCACAGCCACCCTTAGCTGCACCAATGGAGCCTCCTGCTTGCACACCTGCCCTCCTGCTAGGTAAGCTCTTCCTGGATGTCTCCTTCAAGGTCATGTTTGCCCTCTCCTCTCAGCAGAGCAGAGTGGTCCCCCTCCTAGTAGGGCCCTGTTGGAAAGCCCAGCCCTCAGCCTCCCTGTTTCTTGCCTGTGTCCTTCACTCTGGGAACTCTTGGAGGGTGGGCAGGGTGCTGTCTGAGGTCCCTGGATCTGTGTGCCATGTACGTAGGTCCTCAGCTTTGCTCATGAAGTGGCTAGGTGACAGCATGTGACTGGGGCAGGATGAGTAGAGGCCACACAGGGACCTGAGGGCCAGCACTGAGAGATCCCCCATGACTGTCCTTCACATGCCTGGGACTCCGTGTGAGCCTGGCCTGTTGCCTGTGGCTGTATGGATGAGGAATTTCCATGTCGCCCATTCATTTCTGTCTGGCACCTTCAGCAGGGACTTGAGGACCAACACGGACCCTCCCCCACCTGTGGCATGCAGGATGTGCTGCCTTGAGAAAGGCTGAGCTCGTCAGGCTGTGAAGGGAAGGAGGGAGGTGCAGGTTCACAGAGTAGGGTAACTGTAAGGGCAGCACCCCCTACAGGCCATCATTGGTCACTACAGAGTGGCTCAGCCATCAGTGCCTCTTGCCTGTCTGATAGACAGGTCTGCCAATCTTTCTGGCAGAAAGAAAGCTCCTGCCCCAATCTTTCAGAGGTCACGGCTGATCTGAGGGACAGACTATTTTTCTTTAAAACTCTCAGGCGCACAGGTTCAAAGTTATGACTAGCTACACCTTAGTGTGTGACTAATGTGAAACCATATGTTTAAACCTTCCATTTTAAAATTGCATTTCAGCACATACTAGTAATGAATGCTGCTCTTGGATACATGTTGACCTACAGTGTAAATTTCTGTTCACAACCTTCAGCATCTGGGTCAAGGCATGGCTTCTGAGAAGGAAACCACCAGTGAAACCCATCAAAAGAACCTAGAGGGGCTGGGGATTTAGCTCAGTGGTGCAGTGCCTGCCTGGCAAGCATGAGGTCCTGTGTTCGATTCCTGGTACCCGCTCCAAAAAAAAAAAAAAGGGGGGAACCTAGAGCTGCATAGGGGTGAAAAGGATCCTCGGGGGCCTCCCTGGTGACCCAACCTTTCCCTCTTGGTGTCTGTCCCTCCACTTTGTAGGTACTGGGCTGTAGTCAGTCTCTGTGCTGGAAGCTACCTGGGGTCAGCACAGGCTGGTACATAGCAGATGCTAGAAAAATGTATGTACAGAATGAGTAGAAATCTTTTTGACAAGAAGAAAAACAAGTATCTAATGCCAGGGCATATCAAAGTAGATCCAATCCCTCATTTCACAAATCCAACAGCTGAGGCCCTGCCAGCCGCAATGGTAAGTATAGTTTCCAGTAGTTATGCCCATCAAACTGCAGATTCCCCTCCTTTCAGTAGTTAAGGGACTTGCCCAAAGCTGCGCAGTCCGTGAGGCTGGCTTAGAATCCAGTCTCTGGTCTCCCTATGTTCCTGCCACCTGCCTCCGGGAATCAGATCTGGAGAAAGGAGCACAGGAAGGCAGGCGCCTAGGTAGCCTGAGGACAAGGACATGCCCGTGAGCAGTGGCGACTTTCCGTGATTCCTAACTGGGCGGACCACTCGTGGTGGCAGTTGCAAATCAAGGTGCTCAATTTGTCTTGGACTCCTCTGTGCTTCCACCCAAGCCCTAGCTCTCTGAGGCCACCTAACACCCGGGACCAGCCAGAGCTGCGCTCCCCAGGAACTTGGCCCCAGGAGGGCAGAAGAGGAGGGCGGGACTGGGCAGCGGAGAGAAGCACTGACGCACAGCTTCAAACAGCGTGCCACCACCGGCCTGCTGGGAAACGGCACGGCGCAGACCAATCCGGCCCGAGGCGGAGGCCGGTTGGCTCCGAGCGCCGGACAAGTGGAGCAGGCGGGAGGGGTGGGGTGGGGGTGGCGGCCAGGGACAGGGAAGGAGAGGGGCGGGGGGCGGGGCAGAACGCCAGCACAGAGGCCAACCCCTCTTGGCCCCACCCCACAGCAGCCCTGATGGGGGCGCCGCCCCCCCCAGGGCCTGTGCCTGTTGGGGACCCTCCACGTGACTCGGTGATGCAGAACGGTTATGACCTTCAGCGAGTGTCTGTGAACGCGAGGGTCCCAGCAACAGTACGGATTTACGCCCGGCCCTGCCTGTGGGTGCGGGAAGTGTGTGTGGGTGTGTGGGCATATGTGGGCGTGCTGGGGAGGGTGCCCAGCGACATGTGACAAAGACCCGTCTCTGGGAGACGGTGAAGGGACTCGCGAGCTGGCGCTTTGTCTGGTCTGCAGAGTGAGGTTCGCGCCGCGGCGGCGGCGGGCGCCCGAGCGGTGCAGGATGCTGGGGCGCCAGGGTGGCCGGGGGCGCGCGCGCCTGTGCCAGGGTGAGTGCGCTGCGGCAGCACCGGGGGGCAGCATGGCGGGCCCACGCCAGCCCTGGCCTCGGGCGTGACTGGGCGCCACCCGTGGGCGCTGCAGTGGCCGCGTGTCCCCGTGACCTCGGGAGCCAGCCTGGGCCCAGCCGGGTGGATCCCTGCACGCCCCTCCCCGTCCACCTTCCACGTGCGTGTCC